TTTCAGGTGAAATGGCTGAATAAACAGCTGGGAAAATTGTGGCCATATGTTGCAGATGTAAGCTTACTCACTGCTTGATGACCAAGGCCCCTTTGCTTTGCTTTTCCTAAACATAGAAGTTTTTAACATTTATGATTCATATGATATAATGATTAGTTGAAATGTACAATCCACAGGTTCCTTTAACTTTTTTCTCCATATTACATATTCTACCTCATTCAATCATTCACAAACTTCTGATATTTTGCTAATCTGATTACATGTTCAAACAATATTTTTTTGTATCGAAACACATGTTTTGGCCCTTACTATTACTTTGGCCCTTGCAATTTTTGAGAGGCATTATGAAGAATAATATAATTTATATAAGAAAAGAATTGAGATCAGAAGTTATTTAATGATAATTATTGTGTACTATAATATTTGACTTTTTTTAATTTTAGTAAAAATATCAGTAAATTTTAAAATGTGAGTTGCAAACAAAACCTTATTATTATTATAATATGGTCCATACTCCATGCAGAGTAACCACATAGTAGACTACTTCTGTTAACAAGTATAATGGATCATTGAATTTTTTATAATATATATAATTTAGTATCAAATGAATAACATAATAAGACTAGAAAAGTTGAAATATTTTGACTGGAAAACGGATTAAAAAGACAAATATTATTTTAGTTTAAATTTAAAATGATTCCATAACTCTATATTTAGTAAGTACATAATTGGCTGGACAATAATAGCCCTCTATAATCTATTTCTAGAATTCATTTTTTTTTTTATTATATAGATAGATGTATATTTTTATCTAACTGAAATAGATAAGTTGGTAGCTGAAGAATTTGCCTTACACACAGCAGAATTTGATATTAGGTATCATTTTCATAAGGTTACTGCTAAATTTAACGGTTTCCTTTCAGGCAGCAGAGGCTGTTATAAAAGAATCTGTTGAACCGTTGTTGGAAGAGTATCGTCCTCCAGGAATTTCTTCTTTGAAATTCAGCAAATTGTCTCTTGGAACAGTGGCTCCTAAAATTGAAGGTTGACATATTGTTGACAAATTAATAATATTAATTCAATTCTCAAAAGTGCATTTTGAAGTCAGTTTGCTACTTTCATCTCTGTGAATCAAACTTCGTGCAATTTATTTGCTGTGACACCTGATCATTTGGAATATTTGCATCCCGGTTCTATCATGAGTTTTCGACCATTTTATTTATTAATGGGATTATCAGTATTTTTTGTTTTTGTTATATTCGCCTAATTGTAGGGATTGCTCATCATATGGTGCAATAGATTTGAGGCAGTAGATTTTTCTTCTCATCACTGTAACTCATTATATTGCCATGTAGCTTTTCTGGAGCTGTCCTAAAAGTCCTTTGTTCAAGTTCTCTGCATTGTCATTCTGTGTGGCAGAGTATCATGGCAACTTAACTACTATGGTGTGCTTTGCTATCAAATGCAAGCAATCTGTGCAAAAAATGTTGTTCGATTATTCATAATTTGAACTTTGAGTCTTAGACATGTTAGTAAGGTTCAAACAATTTCCATGTACCATTATAAATATGTTGTCTGGTATACTGGAAAATACTCAGCCAACTTTTTTGTATATGTTTGCTTAATTGATTACCGTTTGTGGATCTCTCACTTTATTTTTTATTTTACGCATTTGTTTCTACCTCACAACGTGCTTAATTTTAATTCGTGAAGGGATTCGCGTTCAGAGTCTTAAAGAAGGTCAAATCACAATGGATATTGACCTCCGCTGGGGTGGTGATCCGAGTATTATCCTAGCTGTCGAGGCTGCACGTGTTGCCTCTATACCTATTCAGGTTGGTTAATAAAAAATATCCAGAACATTTTGAAATTGTTCTGAGAATGTCTGGAAGTATGTGTGTGTGTGTGTGGTGGGTGCCAGCACTTGCAGTAAATGAAACTTTTATGTCCTGGTGGCTTGCTGCTATTATTTGTTTTGCTACTGTATACTTCTGTATTCAGATGGAAATTTGCCATTCCATTTTCCTTGCAGTTGAAGGATCTTAAAGTTTTCACTGTGGTCCGTGCTATTTTCCAACTTGCGGATGAAATTCCTTGCATCTCTGCAGTAGTGGTTGCTCTGCTTGCTGAGGTACATCATGTGATATATATGTTGATTTGGTAAAAATAAATTTAATGCAGATGCATATGGAATTTTTTGAGAGATGGCTATGCAATAATCAATTATGTAAAGATCACAGAGGTTAAAAGGCAGTCCTTACTACTGTTTCTTCTCCTAGCATTAGAGCAATGACTGGCTGATACTGTTGTTTTTTACAGCATAATAACATTTTTCTGTTATTATAAATAATATATTCTCCTTTGTTGTTTTTTCTTTTTTTCTGTGATTGTAAATCATTTCTTCTTTCTGATGTCACTCAGCCGAAGCCGCGCATCGATTATACTCTTAAGGCTGTTGGTGGAAGTTTAACAGCTATTCCTGGGCTTTCAGATATGATTGATGTGAGTTCTGATATTTTTCCTCAGTTCAATGAATATTCAAGTATTTAGACTGACTAATTATTCATTTCATTAAGGACACTGTTGATACCATTGTGACGGATATGCTACAATGGCCCCACAGGATTGTTGTCCCCATCGGTGGTATACCTGTAGATACCAGGTGAGTACAGGATTTGCTTCTTTTTTTCTTATCTTTTATTCTCATTTTATTATATCTTTCTTTTCTTTTCCTTTACTTCTTTTGGTCAGTGTTATGGAAGGGGAACTACACATTATCAAAGTGAGAGTGAAATGGGTTATCTGGAAAAATCAAATTTCGTGAAATAATATTACCCAAGTACTGTAGTAGACAGTTGGTGAGGGGTATATCTTGGGTTTTTGGGCTAGGTTTGATAATTTTCGGTGTTATCGGAACTTGGGCTGCAGTAATAAGATTTTGATAGAATAACGAGACACCAATATGCTTTCTTCTGCGCCATTGGAGGCTGACGGCTAACATCGATGGCTACTAACTGAAGACTTAATAGGAATTTTCTGAATTTAATTATACATACTTTCCACTCTACTTTTTTCTTTAAGAATGTTATTCTTCCGACATGATCCAAGTGGATGGTTTTCAATTGTTCTTTATACATTTTTGCAGTGAATTGGAGCTTAAGCCGGTTGGAAAACTCACAGTAACTGTCGTGCAGGCAAACAACCTGAAAAACATGGAATTGATAGGAAAATCTGATCCCTATGTTGTCTTACACATCCGTCCTTTGTTTAAAGTAAAAACAAAGATTGTAGATAACAACTTGAATCCTGTTTGGAATCAAACATTTGAGTTGATCGCAGAAGACAAGGAGACCCAGTATCTCATTATCGAGGTTTTTTATACCTTCATTTTTTTCCTTCTTTTCTCCTCTAGTTGTGTGGTGTTTTTTCTGTCTCTGAATAATGAGCATGATCCATGTGTTGTGAACAGGTATTTGATCAAGACATTGGACAGGACAAGCGACTGGGCATTACAAAGCTAGCTCTTATTGAGTTGGAAGCAGAGAAATCAAAAGATTTCGAACTAAGGCTGCTCCCATCCCTCGATATGCTTAAGATTAAAGATAAGAAGGATAGAGGCACTGTGACTCTTCGGGTACACGCTTCACTGGTTCTGATTATATGAAATTTTTTCGCTCTTGTGGTTTTGAAAATGGAAGTGCAGCGGGGATGTTTGGATATAAGATGTTTTGATTTTGTTTAGATTTTTTCGTTTGGTGTGTGATGTTAGTTGTTAGTGGGATTTTGAGTTTATATTGAATTAATAATTAAAATAATATAATTAAATTTGATTTGATGTAAAAGTATGAGAGAGATTATGTGAAGTGGGATGAATATTGAATTGAAGGTGATGTAATTAGTAAGAGTGATGAGTGATATTATTTAACTATATTGATAATAATAAAAAAATTGTGGATAGTGGGTTTGAGTTAGATTTGAGTTAAAAAAAAAAGTGATTGAATTTTTTTGGGAAATTTATATCCAAACATGCAATTACACTCTATCTCTCCTACCCAAAAATGGAAAAGAGAAATTTGTTGCTGTCCATTGTAATGAGATTACGTTCAAGTTAACCTGCTTAGAATGCGTGTACCGATGGTTTCAGGTGTTGTACCACGAATTTAACAAGGAAGAGCAGCTAGCAGCCCTAGAAGAGGAGAAGAGGATCTTAGAGCAGCGTAAGAAGCTGAAAGAGGCTGGAGTTATTGGGAGCACAATGGATGCCCTTGATGGTGCAGCTTCCCTGGTTGGGTCTGGGGTAGGTTTGGTGGGTGCCGGCATTGGGGCCGGAGCAGGGCTTGTCGGGTCGGGCCTAGGCGCTGGAGCTGGGCTTGTCGGTAGTGGTTTAAGCAAAGCTGGGAAGTTCATGGGCCGGACCATTACTGGCGGGCCATCCAACTCGTCTAAGAAGAGCGGGGTTTCCACGCCGGTTAATACTCAGGAAAATGGAGGAGGCACGACAAAGCCACTGTAAGTTTGGACTCATGATTGTTATATACTGTGGTAATTACTGTGGACTTTTTTAGTTTTTGGTTAATTAGTGTTTGTGATTATTGGGTTGATCAAAAAGTATCGTGTGCATTTTGTTGTGTTGTGTGGAGGTTGGGAATATTGGAGTTTATGGGTACTGAATTAAGTGGATATGTTTTTTTTTTTTCGTTCTCGTAATAAATATTTAATTAATTAATTGTCTGTTTTTACTTTATTAGTAATTATGAATGATGGTATAGTATGACTTTAAAAGCCAAAAGAAAATAAGTTAACATCATAATATACTTGTTTCGAGGAACACTTGGAAATTGGAATGCAGTGAGTACTAATTTAGTTAAACGTTGAGATAATTATACTGACATAGTTGTGAGTACTAATTGAGTACTAATTGGAATGGAGTGAGTATTAATTATCTGTAATACCAAAATTCATATTTTTTTATTATCTATAAATAGAGACCACATTTAATAGGTTTTTTTAACACAATTAATTTTTCGTTTTTTCGTAATTATTTTATTATACTGACATATTATGAACATGTTACATAATAAGATGAACATGTTACAGATTGCAGATTGAAAATAATACATATTTATTTTATTTTATAACACGTTCATCTTATTCTATAACATGTTCATTTTATTATGTGACATGTTCATCTTATTCTATAACATATTCATTTTATTATGTATGTAACATGTTCAACTTATTCTATAACATGTTCATTTTATTATGTAACATATTCATCTTATTCTATAACATGTTCATTTTATTATGTAACATGTTCATCTTATTTTATAACATGTTCATTTTATTATGTAACATGCTCATCTTATTTAATAACATGTTCATTTTATTATGTATGTAACGTGTTCAGCTTATTTTATAACATGTCCATTTATTATGTAACATGTTCATTTTATTATGTAACATGTTCATCTTATTTTAGAATATGTTCATCTAAATTTCATCTGTAATGTAACATTTTCATCTTATTCTATGACATGTTCATCTTACTCTATAACATGTTCATCTTACTATGTAAAACATATTCATCTTATTATAGATTTGCGTCATAATCTTCCAATAAAATAAAGTAATTGTAAAAAATGATAAATTAATTGTGTTTCAAAAAATATTGAATGTGGTCTCTATTTGTAGAGAATAAAAAATTATGAATTTTGGTATTTTTATTTTTATTTTTTGAACAAAATATGAATGATAATTTAATTTATATAATATGATAAATAAAATTCATTACCCAATAAAAATGGGATACATGTCCCATTTAAAAAAAAAACACTTACCTCTTTACTTCTCACACGCCTTTCGAGGAAATGTAATTCAAATAAGGCCTGGCACAAGGTGTGCCCTGTATTTGCCCCTGTGATATGTACATTTTCACGTTCATACTTTCACTTTTGCCAAGGGAAAACTGCACCGACAGCTCGCTTTCTCCTTTCTCGTACGAATCATGTGATCACTGATAATATGTAGTAACTTCATTTCAGTTCGTGTATTGTTTTAACGTTTTTTTGTTTTTATTCCTCTGTCGTGTGTATCTCAAATTCTCAATAAACAATGTAGTTTAACCTCGCGTTAATTTTTACTTTAGTACCACAACTGTTGCGAGCCAACCTCCCATTAAGTGTTGTAATTAAACTGAACGAGCCGAGTTTGGGCATTTTGGGCTCCTGTTCATTTACGTTTGGACACTATTCCTGTTCGTTTGTTTATATTTCAAACCAAAAATCTTGTTCGAGCTTGTTCGTCAAAGTTCGAGTTCGAATAATTTATGGAACAAACTTAAACATTCGAAAATTGTTCTTTCTAACTAGAAAATAAAACAATCAGTTAAAAATTACCCTACATTCTAGATTTTTTTTTTATTGAAAAATATCATATAAATATACACACAATATATATATATATAACAACAACAACAACATAGCCTTTTAGTCACAAACAAGTGATTAATACAACAACAAAACAACATAGTCTTTTAGTCCCAAGCAAGTTGGGTAGGCTAGAGATGAAACCCAAGAGAACCAATGGTAAGACAAAAAAAAAAGCTCAAAAAAGAAAAAAAAAAAAAAAGAGATTGGAGCAAAAGAGAAAGAAGCAAATGTCACGGTTCTGGCACGTTGATTGCTAGCTTCCAAGCGCTCCTATCCATCGCTAGATCCTTGGAGATATTCCAATCTTTAAGATCTCTCTTATCCGACTATTCCAAAGTGAGTTTAGGCCGACCTCTACCTCTGTTTACATCATCGATCGGTTGTATAACTCCCCTACGCACCGGTGCATCAGGAGGTCTCCGTTGGGCATGTCCGAACCACCTCAACCGATGTTGAACCAATTTCTCCTGAATTGGAGTCACCCCGACCCTATCTCGAATATCCTCATTCCGGATTCTATCCCTTCTTGTATGCCCGCAAAACCACCGCAACATACGCATCTCTGTTACACTTAGTTGTTGGACATGTTGCCTTGTATCGTTTGATTAATAAACGAACCAAATTTTTTGTTTAAATTCGGTTCAATTAACAAACGAACGAGCTCTTAATAATATCATTTGTGTATGAGACTATACATATTTATTAAAAAATACAACTACAACTACATCTACATGTGCCTACAATTCCAAACCAGCCAGTATATATAATGAAGAGGAATAAAATGCTTAAACTAGGACGAGTCGGGGAAGAGACGCCCCCCTACTATCGTGATCCATCCACTCGCTCAAGCATGGGGGAGGGATAGACATTTGCTGAAGCTCAGTCGGGATGGACCCCGCCAACCGCGTCAAATGATCAGTTGCCAAGTTCGCTTTTCTGTGCACATGTTTGATTCGATGAGTCCTCGTTAAGGTTTGAAGAGCCGTGAACATTGCCTCTTAAATTAAGCCTATCTGAACGGTTTCTAGGTGTTTGGTGGATAGACTCATTAAATAGCTGCGAATACGGTTAATTTTTGAATACTAATACACACAATTAATATTACATCGAAAAAAGGCATCTTTTATCCACCTTAGTTTCATTTATCTCCAATTCCCAACTTCTAACCATAACCAAAACACATAATAAAATGTCAAACCATGATGAAGAACTCACAATTCCATCAATGGAGGACGAAGCGTACAAGAACCTCGGCCTCGTCCGCAACCCGGACGGCTCCCTCACTCGACTTACCAAATCCCCCGACGTGCCGGCGGTTCCCCGGGTCGACCCGGATAGCTCCATCCCCGTCGCCCTCTCCCGAGATGTCCCCCTCAACCCCGCAAGCAACACCTTCATCCGCCTCTTCCGCCCCCGGGAAACCCCACCGGCGGCCAAACTACCCCTCGTAATCTATTTCCACGGTGGCGGTTATGTGCTGCTGGGCGCCGCCTCCGCCGTTTTCCACGACTCGTGCGCCAGCATGGCGGCTCGGTTCCCGGCCCTCGTCGCCTCTGTCAACTACCGACTCGCCCCAGAGCACCGCCTTCCCGCGGCCTACGACGACGCGGTTGAGGCCATCACCTGGGCCGCCGCCGGCGGCGGCGGCGACTCGTGGGTGGCAGAGCTGGCGGATTTCTCGCGGGTGTTCCTGATGGGGAGCAGCTCCGGCGGGAGCATCGTCTACCACGCGGCCCTGCGGGCCGTTGATATGAACCTGGAGCCGAGGATGAAAATTGTGGGGCTGATAATGAACCAGCCGTTCTTCGGCGGCGTGCCGCGGACGGGGTCGGAGATCGAGCGGCCGGGGGATCCGATTGTTCCCCTGCACGTGACGGACCTGCTGTGGTCCCTGGCGCTGCCGGAGGGTGCCGACCGTGGGCATTGGTACTGCGACCCGTCGGCCGAGGGGCCGCTCGTGGAGAAGATCGGGCGGCTGCCGGCGAGCGTAGTGAGGGGGTACGCGGCGGACATACTGCTCGACAGGCAGAAGGAGTTCGCGGAGATGCTGGCGGCGCGTGGGGTGCGCGTGGTGCGTCAGTTCTTGGATAGCGGGTACCACGCGGTGGAGATTTTCGATCCAAAATTCGCGGATCAACTGTACGAGGAGGTCGGTGATTTCGTGCGCTCGTTTTGATTTAAGGGTGAGATTAGAAGTTAATGACAGTGATTAAATATGTTAAATTATGCTGCGTGGACGGGCAGGTATTTGAAATTGAGAATAAAAACTTTTGTATGCCATGCCAAGCTGCTGGACTCATTCACTAAAAATATTTTTTAATTATCCCTAAATTATTTGAATGTTACTCCATGGATACACACTAATTTCTTATAGGGAGGGTCCAATGCTAACTTCGTGACTGCACGTTTATTGTTTGATTAACATACAGACATAACCATACGAATATGTATTGACCTAACGGTAAAAACATCGTTGATAACTGACACAAACATAATCGTATCGAACAAGTCTGTTTGTTCCAAGCTAAACGACCTCACATCTTTAGAGGAACCACCTTCAGAGGCACGGCCTTCTTCACCGTGATCCCAAACTTCTCCTCCATGTCCAAATCTTCCGATTTTGCCCCTCCTTCAATCCGCCACTCGAAACCCCCGACCATCGTGGCAAGCATGAGGTGAACCATCCTATGCGCGAGGGGCAAACCGGGACATATCCTCCTCCCGGCCCCAAACGGTATCAGCTCGAAATCCTTCCCTCTGTAGTCCACCTCACGGCCCAAAAACCGCTCGGGCATGAAGACATCCGCATTGGGCCACACGTTGGGGTCCCGGCCGGAGGCCCATACGTTGACCAGGATCTGAGCATCCTTAGGGACAATATAGTCATTTACCTCCACATCCACATCGGCCTTCCGGGGTACCAAGAAAGGGCCGGGCGGATGGAGCCTGAGAGTCTCCTTGATTACGGCTTGCAAGTACGGGAGTCGAGCGATGTCTGATTCTCCGACCAATCGTTCGTCGTTGTCGACTCCATTGATGAAGTCACTGATTTCGTCTCTGAGTGTGGATAATTTTGAAGGATTACGCAAGAGCTCCGCCATTGCCCATTCAACCGTGTTCGATGAGGTGTCCGTGCCAGCTACGAATAAGTCCTAAAACGGAACTCAAAACATGAAACACACATGTGAACTAAAATGTGTCATTTGCTACAAAGTGAACAACAACGAATCACTTATTATAACAATTATACCACTAAGAGATGCTTGATATCATCCCTGCTCAATGCACCCTTGAGATTAAGATTGATGAGCGCCTCCAGCACATCATCCTTTTCGCCTCTGCACTTCAACCTCTCATCAACAATTTCACCGAAAATCTCTAACAGCCGCCCGGTGAAGTACTCCGCGTCCCTCCGGATCCCCTGCAGGTCGACCCGTTTCAGAACCGGGAAGAAATCCGCCATATTCGGCCTCCCGAGACATCTCAACACTCCCCATACAACATCCCTGACCTCCCGAGACGAGCCCGACCCGAACCCGGCAAACTCCTCTGAGAAAAGGGTCGTCGACAGCAGGTTCAGGGTCATCGTGAACGTGGCATCCCCCACATCCACGGCCCGGTCCGAATCACGACACGACTTAACATACTCGCGTAGCTGGCCCAGCTTCTCCCTCCTTAAGGCTCGGCCCGATTCGAGGCTGGGGCCCGAGAACATATGCTCCCGGCATATCCTCCGGAGCTTGCGCCAGGGGCCGTCCACGGGTAGAAACACCATGGAGAACCGGTCATGGTCTCGACTTCCGGCAGCAATCGTGATTTTCCGGCTGGAAAACGGGAGGTCGTGTGTCTGGAGCACGGATCGGGCAGCCTCCGGCGAGGATATGACGACCGTTGTTAGTGTTCCGAGCTTGAGGGACATCAAGGGCCCGTAGACTCGGGAGAGCTTGGCGAGTGATTGGTGGGGTTTGGGGCCGAGGAGAAGGATGTTGCCGATTATGGGAAGGGGAAACGGGCCCGGCGGAAGGTTTGTGGGCTTTCGGGCCCTGGAATGTCGGTAGATGGTGAGAATACAGGCAATGGAAATTAGAACTAATAGAGGTGAGAGATAATCCATGAGGAGGAGTTGGGATATTTTTCTCTCCTCTTATTACTTGTATTGATTTCGGATTTTTGGTTTTGGAGATAATCCAATAAAGTTATGTACGTTTGCTTCTCATATGTTACATCCATTTTTTTTTATTTATTTATTTTTTTTTTTTTTGTTTTCATTGCAATTATTTGATGTTAGCATTTTCCACGTTCTAAATGAGGAGAAAGATTCTCACTCGCATTAATTGTTGAGAAAATATCACGTCTCGTGTTACTAGTGATGTACGGATGCACAATTTTAAAGTTATTTAGCGATGATTATTATTATATATATATATATGAATAAAGAAAAATGTAAGGGATATATATAGTACGTGTATGTGCGATGCACATATTATATTTATTTGGAAAATATTATATTATAAAATGCAATATTAAATAAAGAGATTTATAATACAATTGTATTACAATTAAGATAGTATTTGACAAAGATACAAGACCTCCTTTTACACAACATTATGAGTTTGATTTAGTCAACTCGTTAATCTCACAAACTAATATCTCCAACTTCATTCTATTAGTTACACGCGAAACAACAACATATAATAAAAACATTTAATGAAGTGGTAACCGTACCTTTTCTACAAACATATTAAAAATTTTCATGTTAAGAGTAAATAATTGATTAGAAAATAGTGTAGAAATTATTAGAAAAACAAAACAACATGGTTAGAATGAGATTAATAAAATTACTTCATGGTTGAACATTTAAATTAAATAATTGAAATAATTGGAAAGTAATATTAAATGATAGGTATTCTCTGGAACGTACAAGTTACATAATTAGTACCCATGGTTGACCAATTTCTTCACAGTGCCTCTTGAAAGCCAAAAATTTGTCTATACATATCACCCCAAACTATGCAATTTACGAAATTTTCACTGCAATAAATTTCAAAATTGTTAGATATATAATGCATATAAAAAATTATATGATTATAATTGATTATATTGCATAAAAAAACAACAATAAAACAAAAAAACAACCATTTGAATATCGTCAGTTTTATTTGTTTCTCTTGCACGCTTTGAATGTCAACAACCAATCCTGTAACATCTACGATAAAAAAAAACTAATAAGTTATGATTTAATTACTTTGAAATAAACAAATAAAATTATAAACAGAATGAAATAATCTTACCGAATAACATTGATTCATCGATTTTGTTGACATATTGTAGAGTTGCAAAGTCTTTGAATTGAAATCGAAATACATGAAATTCTTCCTTGCACTTTGTAAACATGGTGCTCCCGTGCAACATGATCTTAAAATCACCGGATGTCGAATGTTAGTTCCCTATATTGTTGTCCACTTGATAATTTTTTATACAAATGACCATGCCCTCCTCAAAATTCCTCTATCTAAACGCAGCCAAGTTGATTGCCTGTAGTCATGCCGTAATGTGATTACCCTAAACATATACGAAAAAGCAATCAATGAAAAATAATTTGTTTTAAAAACTAAAAAAATGAATATTATATATATACACGAAAATATATGTTTGATATTTCGAAAAAAAAAAGTGAAAATAATTTAACTTACAATTTTATCATGTAAAACGAACTCAAGATAGGATTTGTATGTGCTGCCCAGTCTTGAAAAAACATTCTTACAATTCGAACTTTAAGCATATGTCTATTAAACCTATTAACTTGTTTGATTAAGCCAATTTTTTTGATTCATTGTTATGAATGACACACTAATTGGGTATTTTTTTTTTCGCAGGTGGTTGAAAGTGAGGAATACGCTGATTCAATATTTGGAGATTTGTAATTTATAATTGCATTATCGCATTATATGTAGAGATAATGTGAAAGAAATCATATCAGATCATTATATGTAGAAACAAATATGATCAGGTTTATATCACATTATAATTATAATTGCATTAAAAAAAAATCATAAGCAAAACACTTCAATTTAGGCGTGAAATCTGATTTAATTTTGGAAGAAGTTTTATTGGTTGACCGATCAAAACTTTTTTTTATTGGTTTAGTAATAAGTAATAAGTAATAGAATGCACTAAATAATATAAGTAATACGTAATTAAATAAAATTATTGATGGAAATAACATGCATTAATTGTCCTTTGATTTTTCTACCTACTAATTTTGGTAATTGGGATGACTTATTATATAAGTATATATTTATGTCGATGTCACTTGATAATTGGGCGGGACACATATTCTATGTTTGATATACAAATAAACTAGCTTATAACTTATTTAATTATCTTATAAGTCCCATATATGTAAATAAGCTCTGTTTGGTAAGAAAAGTTTATTTAAAAAGTTCGAGCTTATTTGGTAAGTTTCTTTTGGTAGCATTTTAAATAAGTTCATTAAAATTTTTATTTCAGCTAGCTTATCAGCTAATTTTGCCAAACACTTCTATCATATAAACTAGTTTTTCAGCTATAACGTCATAAGTTAAATCTCGAAAACTATAAGGTAGCTTCAAACATAACATAGACCCGAAAACTATTTCACAAAATAATCCATATATATATTTTTTCTCTCTCTTTTTTTTTTTTTTTTTGTTTGGTACAAATATTTTTTCTCTCTCTATTTATTGGTATTGTAATGTGAACAAGTAGCATTCCTATATAACGTATTTTTTTTTGAGAAAAAGGTATGAGTAACAAAACATAATTTTTTTGTACCAGGAAATAGTTATCGGTTTAATTAAATCACACTCTATGTAGCACTTATTAATCAATTAGTAACAGAAATCATACTTATTTTATTATATTGGAAAATATGTATTTTTTGTTCCAGGAAATATAAGAAAATATACCATCTATATCTATATCAAAAGAATTACTATTTACTAAAAATAGTAATCCAAAAATTTAGCAAAACATTTATTACATATTATTTTAAGATTTTTTTTTTATAAAAATTATTTAGGAATTAATTTGAATCTTATCTAAATTATTTAGGAAAGAAGTGCATTCCATACATGAATCCCTATAAATTAGGGATTTTTAATAAGTGACGGATAAATCATTAGTAAATTTATTTTTTTGGATTTATTATAAATCTTTTAAAAAATTATAATAATGGAATGGACATAAAATTTTAGGAAAGCATTTATTACATTCTATTTTACAATTTTTTTTTTAAAAAAAATATTTAAGAATTAATTTGAAGTCTTATCCAAATTATTTAAGAATATGTTACAAAAAAAACGTGTCAGATTTGTTTTAAAATTTGATATTTTAATGGGTTACTAATCAAATTCATTCCAAAATCTATTCACCATTTATGTTTTATCCAACTCATTTATTTTGATTCCTTTTTCAATCAATTGAAAAATCGTTCAATTTTTTCAATAGTTGAATTTTAATTTTCTTATTATTTGTGTTGACGAGTGTTTTCGGTCAACGGTTAAGATTAAGTGAATGAAAAGTACAGGACTGAGAATGAGGCCAGGATAAGGTTTAATTATAGGTTTTTATTAAACGATCACGTGGTCGGCCTCTCGTACGAGGTCGGCTCCTGTGATATTCTTACAGTTCTTACAATCCTTACAATATTAGAGAGAGAAAGTAAAGGAAAGCTTGAGTTAGTTGTGAATTCAACAACCCCAAAATAAATGAGGTGGGCTGCTATTTATAGTACTCTTAAATGAGGAACTGTTCACCGGTCTTGTCGTACAGTAGACTTGCAGAGCAGTTCGGCGCCTCCCTGACAGTTCATTAATGCGATTTGAGGTTTTCCCAATCATTGCTTGCTAAGCATTAAATGCAGGCATGGGCAGCATTTAATGCTGACTGAACGTCTGTGACATGCTGTCCCATCAACGAATGATGATCTCCCAAGTGGCGAATATTTAATGACGATCAGATCGGCGCTATTCTTTAGCAGGGCGGCTCTGACCTGTTAAGGTCGGCTCTTTCTCTTCGAAAGCACGCGTGTCCCAGGCGAACTTCCTTCCAGCTCGGCCCCGGGGAGAGACCGGCTCGGCCCCCACGGATTCAGGTGCCGAGCTCGGGAAGCGTTTCCTTCGACCCGTCCTACACATAATTTATCGATTCGGGTCGGCCCCCGCGAGTTCGGTCCCGCTCGGTTCGGGGGGGGCCGACCTACTCGATCTTGGCCTGACCGATCCGGATGTCAACAATTTGTTAAGTAAATTCGTTTTAGTTTTTTTTTTTAAAAATATTGATCTTTCCTTATGATTGATCAACCTTTTCAAAAAGGACCTTTCCTTAAATTTGTGGATTATTTTTTCTATTTCTTAACTAAATTTACCAATATTTATATATATATATAAAGAGACAATCTATTTACCAAAAATATTAGAAAAAATAGGTTAGAATTTAATGCAGCCCATAAACAGTAAGTTTTATTATTTTTCTTACTTTTTTTCTTTAAAAATCATACATCATTAAATGTCACCTTAAATTTCGGTTTTAGTTCATTTTATTATTTAAAAAATCAGGCTAAGATCAATTAAGTGTTCATATTTTTTTTATTTATTTTTCTTAGAACCAATGAACAACGTTAAAATCTCGGTCCCCATGTTTATAAATTTCAATTCAAAATAAAACAAA